TTGACAATGAAAGCAGGCCAGTTGATTTGCATTCCTCTCACCAAGCACTCCATAAGAACCAGGTCCATGTAATTTGCAGTGTGCCTTCTCTCCTGTCTGGGCAAGAGGCACTTGTTGACAAATTAAAATAAGACCTTGTGCTCATGCCTCATTTCACTTTTCTGCATAAATCTGGCTTCAGGCACATCTCTAGAGTCACAGGACCTCCTAGTAATTTCAAGAGCAGTAGGGAGAGAATCTAGACATGGCCACCTTTGTCTTGTATAGTCATCATACCCTTCAGTAGGTATGTCCAGGATCTCACCCAGTCTGACTATATCAAACTTCACTTTGACTCCTTTCACCAGGCTGGTGACTACTCCATCCTTCACAGCAGCATTGGCCATAAATTCAATCAATTCATTCCTGGCCAGCCTCCCATCCATTTCAAGGACCATGTCCTTCCAACCTTGTGCAGCTAAAGCATCCACCAGTCTTCTCATCCCTGGTTCTTCCAGGTCTTATAACAGTCTTCCTTTTAGAATTTTTCTCCTGCCAAAGATGGCAAACTTATCCAGCTCCTTATCAAATTCCTCTTCTTCTTCTTCACCACTCCACTCTTCATCTTCTTCAACAGTTTTTTTTTTGCTTGCCTTTCACTGCAGATCTTGTCCTCTTGGCCAATGAGGGTTCAGTAGACACAGGTACAGGAGAAGACTTCTTGGAAGAAGTCTTGGACTTTTTAGATTTTGGTGTAGGAACCTCCATTGTTGTTCCCCTTTCTTGATGGACCAGTTCCATCTCCTCTTCTTCTACAACCTCAGAGCATTCTGCAACCTTTGTCTTTCCCTTCTCCATTTTCTTTTTCTTGCTTTCTTCCACATCTTTTTGTAGGTCAGCTTCACTTTGTCTTACCCTGCTTCTTGTAGCTCTTCCCTTAGGCACTGGAGGGGCAGCAGATTTTGGGGATGAAGGTTTTCTTTTTTTGGTTGGTTTGGGTACATTTTGGGCCTTTTGTGAGGTAGCTTTGCGTTTCTTTGGGTCATAACTTGCCCCATCCTTTTTCAGAAGTTCAGCCAGAGTTTCCTCAGCAGATGAACCAGGTTCATCTCTTTGCTTGCTCAAGTGAATCAGCCCTTCAGCTGCTTCCCCAAAACCACTTCCCCCTGACTTGAAGCCACTTTCTTCTTTAACTCCACATATAGCAAGAACTTTTCCCTTCCCTTTTCCCCTCTCTTCACCACTTCCTCCCTCTCTCTCTTTTCCTTTCTTTTTACCTCCACTCCTACTCGATTTAGCCAACAATGCATCTTTAACAGGTCCAATTAGAACAAACCTATTTTCTACATTTTTAACTTCAGAAGAACCTACCCCAGGAGTTTGTTGAATTTTTTCAGTGTCAGAAGACCCATGTTCTTCACCTTCACTAGCAGAAATAAATGATTCAGAGTCAGAATTGCAATCAAACTCTTTAGCTGGGGATTCCCTTTTATGGCTAGCTTTCAACCTCTCATTTAAAACTTTCCTTAGAGCTCCAGATGCTACAGTTTTTCTAGCCAACATTTTCTGCCTTCGAGGCCTAGGTTTTGGGGATTCACTAGGAGGAGTAGAAAAAGATGTATTTGAGGGTAATGGTGGTGGAGGAGTGCCAGGATGATCTTGTGGGTTATACATGGTTCTTCGTTTATGGAGGAGTTTTGGGAATTTCTAAGAAGAAGAGCGATTTGGAATTTCTGGAGAGAGAAGCGATTTAGGATTCTTGGAGAAGAGGAGCAATTAAAACAGGAGATATAATTTTTGATGGTTTTAGAATGAAGAAGAGAGTAAGAGATGTGGTGTGGAATTCCAGTCCCTTAATGATTATTTTGGCTCCCCTAGATATTAGGCAAAAATCACGATTTTAGAGTTCTAAAGGGACGAAACTGGTTCAATGCTTCAACGGATAGAATTTTCTAGGAATTTGACAAGTATAGGACTTCTGCTCATGATTGAATTGTTAATATTTCTAATTATGCAATGTATTGAAAACATACCTTAACTTTCATATGAGCTCATATTGATGAACCAGGTTCTTCATATAGAACTCTCTTGAACATGCCTCAAATGCCATAATAGAAAAAAACTTTGTAAGAGACTAGTGAATCATATGTACACATGTCAAAGGAGTATACTATTTAAAGTATGAAACTGAGTAAGAATTAGTCTAGATATTTACACACAGTTAGAACTCCTAAGCAATTTTTTTTTCATTGTGCATTCTGAACTGGACCTATTAGGTGATCTTAATCATCCCTAATTCCAACCTATTCCTCTCAAAGTTTTCTCTACTCAGTGCTTTAGTGAAAATGTCAGCAATTTGCTTATCAGTAGCACATAATTGTATAGAGATCAGTCTTTTCTCATAGTTATCTCTTAAGAAGTGGTGTCTAACATCTATGTGCTTAGTCCTTTTATGATGAACAGGGTTCTTTGTCATACTTATAGCACTAGTGTTGTCACAGAATATTGGAATACAACCATCTTCAATACCAAAATCTACCAGCTGTTGTTTGATCCATAGCAATTGAGCACAACAAGAAGCAGCAGCAACATACTCAGCTTCAGTAGTAGATAAGGCCACTGAGTTTTGCTTTTTGGTAGCCCATGACACAAGACATGAACCAAGAAAGTGTGTCATACCTGAGGTGCTCTTCCTATCCACCAGAAAACCTGCATAATCAGCATCAGCATATCCTACTAGATTAAAATTGCTACCTTTGGGATACCAAAGATACAGATCACTGGTGCCTTTCAAGTATCTTAGTATCCTTTTGACAGCAGTTAGGTGAGACTCTTTAGGATTTTCTTGAAAGCAAGCACAAAGCCCTACACTGAAAACAATGTCAGGTCTGCTAGCAGTAAGATACAGAAGTGAGCCAATCATACCCCTATACAACTTTTGATCAACAGATGAACTAGGTTCATCAACATCTAATTTAATAGCAGTTGCAATAGGTGTGTCCATTTCATTAGATTCTTCCATTTTAAACATTTTGATTAGCTCATTTGCATACTTTTGCTGGTGGATCATGGTTCCATTTGGACTTTGTTTGATCTGTAAGCCTAAGAAGAAATTAAGCTCACCCATCATGCTCATTTCAAACTCACTCCCCATTAATTTTGCAAAGTCCTTACTCAGCTTATCAGTGGTGGCCCCAAAGATTATGTCATCAATATATATTTGTACAACAAGGAGATCCTTACCTTTTTCCCTTAAGAATAAGGTACTATCAAATTTACCTCTTTTTTACCCATGCTCCAGCAGGAATTTGGATAATCTTCCATACCATGCTCTTGGGGCATGCTTGAGTCCATAGAGAGCCTTGTCTAACTTGTACACATGCTCAGGACATTCCTTGCTTTCAAACCCTGGAGGTTATTTCACAAACACTTTTTCTTTCAGGTAGCCATACAGGAAGGCACTTTTGACATCCATTTGATGAAGAGTGAATTCCATGTGTGCTGCAAAGGCTATGAGGAGTCTGATTGCTTCTAGTCTTGCAACTGGTGTAGAAGTTTCATCATAGTCTATGCCTTCCTCCTGGCTGTAAGCTTGGACCACCAATCTTGCCTTGTTTCTTGTAACAGTTCCATCTTCATCAAGTTTGTTCCTAAAGACCCATTTTGTACCAATAACTGATCTGTCTTTGGACCTTGGAACTAGATGCCAAACTTGAATTCTTTCAAATTGATTGAGTTCATCTTGCATTGAATTGATCCAATCTGCATCATGCAAAGCCTCAACAACATTTTTAGGTTCAATAAGAGATAAAAATGCATCAAAAGCACACAAATTCTTTAATTGTGATCTAGTTTTGACTCCAGATGTTGGATCAGTGATAATGTTCTCAATGGGATGAGAACATTGATACTTGTGAGGTTTCACAACCAACCGGTTTCTACTAGATGTTTCTCCCATGTTCTGTTGCTGAGGAACAAGGTCATGAACAGGTTCCTTTAAGGGATTTATTTCAATTACTCTTTGATTAGTTCCCCTTGTCAGGGCCCTGGATGGAAGAACATGTTCCATCACCTATTCCTTCAGTTAGTGCCATTTTGACTTGTGCTGAGGCTTCAGTCAAGTCCTTTACCAATCCAATGGCTTCATCTTCATGTTCCTGCCTCTCAGAAGGAATGTTAGTTTCATCAAATACTACATGTACACTTTCTTCTACACACAAAGTTCTTTTATTAAACACTTTATATGTTTTGCTACGTGAAGAATATCCCAAGAATACTCCCTCATCACTTCTGGGATCAAACTTACCTAGGGAGTCTTTTCCATTATTGTGCACATAGCACTTACAACCAAATGCCCTAAGATGGGATATGTTTGGTTTTTTCCCTTTAAGTAACTCATAGGGAGTCTTCTCTACAAGAGGTCTAGTCATGCATCTATTGATTATGTAGCATGCAGTGTTTACAGCCTCTGGCCAGAAGCTGTGAGGCAGTTTGCTGGAAAGCAGCATGGTCCTAGCCATGTCCTCAAGAGTCCTATTCTTTCTTTCAACTACTTGTAGACATGTGATTTTTGACCCTCTCCAAGATTTTTCATATTTTAGCATGTAAATATTTAATGTATGCCTAATATAGTTATTTCAACTATTTTTGACTTCTTTACTTTATTACCAGAAATGAAAATTACAAAAAATATTTTAGTTTATGTATTTGTCATAAATTTGAAAAAAATGCAAAAATAGTACCCTATTTTTATCTTTATATAATTTCGAAAGTACAAAAATAGTTTCATGTTTGGTTTAATTAATTAGGATTAGTTTTGACATGATGTAGTATTTCTATCTTATTTTAAAAGGCATTGTGTAGTCTAGGAACCCTTCTAGACTCTTCTTTAGGACAAAAATAAATAAAAAGACCCTAAGGACTTAACACAAAAAGACCTAGGGACTAATTGGCAAAATACACAAAATATAACCTTAGACCTACACCTATAAAAGCTAAGACTAATCAGCCAAAACAAAAGAAAAGATAGAAAAAAGATAGCAGCTGCGGCTTCTTCTTCAAACCACAAAACGCAGGCCTAAGGCTATGAGCAAGAAACACAAAAAAATGAGATCTGGACCATCGTTTCTTTGAAAAAAAAAATAAAGAACTGAAAAATAAAAAGGGATCTCCTTCTTCATGAAGATGGAATGAAAGCGGAACCCTAGACACCCATCAACACCCATCGCTGTCCTCCCTTCTATTTACCAGAAATCGTCGGAAAAACACGCACACACACAGAGCCGCTACTAGCCTCTGACTCGCCGAAAACAGCAGCCAGACCACCTGAAAACGACCACCATTTCCAGATCTAAAGCTCGAGCTCGAACCAGCCCCCAAACCCACGTAAATCTCCAATAAAGCAGCCTTTGTGACGTCCAAAACTGTCGTCCAAGCTCAGTCGAGCGGAATCCAGTAAGTCTGGGAGTTGAGGCAGGCAAGGTTTGTCGAGGTTTCATCAATGGGTTTCGGTTCAAGAATTTGTCCTGTTCGCGTTCCTGGTTTCTCGTCCTTTGCGGAACAAAAAGCCCGATTTGCTTTGTAATCTGAGCTCGAGATCTTGTGAATCGAAAATTGCGGCTGTTTGAGGTTTTTCTCCGTGTTCTTGTTTCTTTAATGATTATCACTGCCATATGATTGCAATGAGTCTGATTGTTCTGAATATCTTTTCGCATCGTTAGTACATATTAAAACTTAAAACTTACACTAGGATGAAGTCGTTATTTCAAACCACGAACGGGACACCCTAAGTTTCATTAGTTGAAGGAGTTTCCATCTTACTGTTCTTGAGTCCTTTGAATCGTTGGCAGCAATTAAGGAATGGATGTATTCATGTGTGAATAGTGGAATAGGACAACTTAGATTTGGTTCATATAATTCTTGTTGAAGAAGAGAGGTAGTCGCCTTCAGGCCATATCATTTTATTTACAGATTTTCATAATATATATACTACTAACAACTGAACCTTGACTTTGATTTTATTATTTTTTTTGTTATTTTTGTGTTTTGTTTAATACTTTCTCTTAACATGAATTTGCATTCTGCACAAAATATGTTTTGGGTGGGGATAGTACTTAAAACTAGCAGAAGTTCGGACCTCAATTATGGTATTGCTTATGTACTACTTTGTTAATTGATCCGCTGAATTAAATCCATGGAGTGAATAACGTGTAAAAATCCTTGAACTTGTTATGTGAAAGACGCGTAGTTGCTTTAGGCGCATAGTTTTTTAATAATTTACCTTCCTAAACTCGGGTGCACATTTATGTGACCCAAATTCAAATCCCAACGAAGTTAAAATATGTCGAAAATCACGGGTGCATTTATGTGACGTGGTTCGGGACGTGTTTTAACGACGTTGCAATCTTCTTTAATTAAAATGAACAAAAGCGGTTAAGAGTTAAAATTTGCACATAGGTTCATAATTGTTTAAAATAAGATAATTAAGCCAAATATGACAGTTGAGCGACCGTGCTAGAACCACAGAACCCGGGAATGCCTAACACCTTCTCCCGGGTTAACAGAATTTCTTACTCGGATTTCTGGTTCGTGACTGTTAAACAAAGTCATTCCTTTCCTCGATTCGGGATTCAAACCGGTGACTTGGTACACCATAAATCTCCCAAGTGGCGACTCTGAATCTTTTAATAATAATCCCGTTTCGATTGTCCTTTAATTGGAAAAACTCCCTTTAGACCCCTCACGGGGTGTAGTATGAAAAAGGAGGTGTGACACTACTCCATTTTGTTGAGGAGTCGTAGGGGCAGAGAAATTATGATCTATACCATTTTCATCACAGAATTCAGCAAACTTGGAGTTTTCAAATTCAGTTCCATGATCAGACCTAATGGATGCAAGTTGATTTCCTAATTGTTTTTGAGTTTTTCTAACAAATGCAGTAAACATGTCAAATGTTTCATCTTTGGAAGTTAGAAATAGAACCCAGGTAAATCTAGAATAGTCATCAACAAGCACCATTACATTTTCTTTCCACCTCTGCTCATGGTTCTCATTGGACCACAGAGATCCATATGGACCAGTTCCAACGACTTGGTTGTGCTTACCATTTTCTTGCTCTTGAACGATGATCTTACCTGCTTCCTCCTTGCACATGCCTCACAAACTTTGTCTTCCTTGAACTTGATGTTGGGTAAACCTATCACCAAGTCTTTAGAGACTAATTTATTTAGCTGATTCAGACTGGCATGACCAAGTCTTTTGTGCCCCAGGAGGGGATCATTAACCAACACACTTAGGCAAGTGATTTCATTTTCTGAGAAAGTGGACAAATCTACAATGTAAATATTGTTAACTCTCTTTCCCTGTAAAACAATCTTGTCAGTGGTAGGATTTATCACAAAGCATTTAGTAGAGGTGAATGCTACCAGGTTACCTCTGTCACACAGTTGTGACACACTAATCAGGCTATATTTCAAGCCATCTATCAAGTAGACATTCTCAATGGAGTGAGAGTCTGTCTTTCCTACCTTTCCAACCCCAATGATCTCACCTTTCTTTCCATTACCAAATGAGACATTACCTCCTTTTAAGTCCTCAAGTGAAAGGAACTGGTCCTTGTTCCCAGTCATATGTTTTGAGCAGCCACTATCCATATACCATATTTGGCTGCTTCCTTTCACTTGGACCTGCAAAAAGAAATCAGGGGTTAGTCTTAGGAACCCAAACCAGTTTGGGTCCCTTTCTATAGGCAAAAGGATGAATCAAATTCTTTCTTGCCCACCCAGACAGCTTATTTTTTTCTTGAACAAAGGCTTTGTTCTTTTGACTTGCCTTTACTTTTGCATTACATTCATTTTTGTAATGACCAGTCTTGCCACAGTGTGTGCATATTTTATTCTCAGGAAGTGTGAGGTACTTGCTTTTAGGGTCTCACTTTGGTGCTTGAGTCCCATAGCCAAGTCCTCTTTTGTTGCTACTGTGGTGCTCTTGCAACCACGAAAGTGCATCAGAAGCCTTGTTCCATTTGCAAGTTCTGTCTAGTTCATGTTTCACTTTTCCTAGATCTTCTTTTAGGACTTTAATCAATTCATCTTTCTTATACAACTCATCCTTCATTTTTCCTAAGTTTTCCTCTAAAGTGAGATATGTGTGATCAATTTTCTTCTTTCCTGTTCCTAGTTTCAATTTTAAGTTTTCAGACCTAAGTTCTAGGACACTAGTGTCAAGTTGAAGAACCTAGTTCTTTAACTCAGCATTTTTGCTATCACTCTCATTAGCACTAGACTCTAGAATTTTGCATTTTGCTTTTAGGATCACACATTCTATAGACAGATCTTCCTTCTTATTGTTAATTATCTCAGACTCATCAATGAAGTCTATTAATAGCTCAGCCAGCCTTTCTTTTGATAGAAATTTAATCTTGTCTTTGAGATGAAGAATACTTGCCTCTTGTTCATCATTTGATTCTCCGATGGCCATAAGATCCTATTCATCTCCAGCTTCATCCTTTGAGTCCTCATCTGATGTTTCTCCCCAGGCTGCAACCATAGCTTTTGTTGATCCTTTGTTCTTCTTTGGTTGAACCTGTTCGTTCTTCCTGTTCCTTCGTTCAGCCCTTTCTTTCTTCCACTCAATTTCCCATTGAGGACAGTTTTTGATCATGTGATCAGTCTTACCACACTTGTAGCAACCCTCATTGGTTTGTTTCCCAGGAGCCCTTTGTTTGTTGAAGGTTGTACCTCTTGAAGAACCCTTTCCTCTCATCAGGTACTTTTTGAAATCTCTTGTGATCATAGCCATTTCATCATCCTCTAGATCTGAACCTTCAGCAATTCTGAGAGTCGGACTTCTTTCCTTCTTGGGTGTATCCATCTTCATGGTTTGCCTTCTCAGTTCATAGGCAGTAAGATTTCCAATTAGTTCATCCAGCTTGAGGGTGGCAATATTCTTAGATTCCTGAATAGTAGTGATTTTGCTTTCCCATGAGACTGGCAGAATCCTTGTCAAGATTTTCTCAACCTTGTCTTCTTCAAGAATAATCCTTCCAAGAGACTTAAGTTCATTTGTCAGTGTAGTGAACCTAGTATACATATCTTGGATAGTTTCTCCTTCCTTCATAGTAAAATTTTCATATTGAGAATACAACAGTGTTCCTCTAGACCTCTTCACTTGAGGTGTTCCTTCATGAGCCACTTGCAAAGTGTCCCAGATTTTCTTTGCAGTGGTACAACTTTGAATTGTGTTGTACTCGTCTGGACCTAGTCCACATACAAGCCATTTCTTTGCTTTGGCATTTTTCTCCCATTTCTTCAGGTCTTCAGCAGTGCAATCAGCTCTTGTTTTAGGCACATCAACTCCTCCAGCATTCTTCTTTGTGGTTGCTAAGGGACCATCAGTGACTATGCCCCAGAGTTCATAGTCTTCCCCTATGATGTGATCTCTCATCCTGTTCTTCCACCAGGAATAGTACTGACCATTGAAAAGTGGAGGTCTAGTAGTGGATTGCCCTTCCTAGTTCCCAGGTGGTGCACTCATGTTGATCTTTTCCTAAGGTGTTAGCCTCTTCAAGGATAACCTGGCTCTGATACCAATTGATGTTTTAAGCGTCTACACCACACAAGAGGGGGGGGGGGGGGTGATTTGTGTGGTACCCAATTTTCGCTCTAGAAGAACCTGGTTCTTCTAAGTGTACTAACTACTGCTGTTTGCGGAATAATAAATACAGAAAATAAAGAACACAGAGATTTTTACGTGGAAAACACCTGGCTCAAAAGGTGAAAAAACCACGACCTACTACTCAGTAGGATTTTCCCAAACTTCCACTAAAATCACTGAGCCAAAACAGCATTTACAAAACTCTTGCAAACCTAAGGATTAACTCTAATCCCGTTGTGGCACACAGCCTCAACTGTTGCGACAACTTCAAGTTAACTCTAACTTGAACACTCTAGGTACCTAATACAATTGCTTCTATGAAAGCTGAAAGGTACAAAGTAAAAACACCTACTACAATTGAACTAGTAATAAAGAAAGACACATAAAACTCTTTATGGAGCTGGTTCTTCAATCTGGTTCATGTAGCTTCAGGTTTGCACACTTGAATCACACACGAACTGCTTGCAAAAAGCCTTGCTATTTTGCTCCCAATTCACGTTTAACTTCTGCATTTTTGTGCCACCCTGTAAAAAAGAACAATCACTGTTATTTAATGAGTTAGTAATTAGAGTTTGATTGAGACTCAATTTCTGATCTTCCATCGAAGTTGAGTCCTTGAACAACACAAACTCCAACCCTATCTTTTTTTCTGGATTGTATTCTTTTCTCATAAAGAGACTTTCTCTCCTTATCCCATATGCAACCTTTTCGATCAGTTCAGGAGATATTGTTGCTTGATCAATGAGACTTATCTCCTTCACGTGCATCTCACATGTATAGGGTGACAAACACTATGCTTCACATGATGGACCTGGTCTATGACTGAGTTCATTTGTCATTCTTCAAAACTTTACCTGTTCTTGGGACAACAGGTACGATCGGGTTTATGTAAGGTATATTAAAGAGGGAATGTCATCATTCAGTTCAGAATGAGGTAACATTTCTTACCAAACGGAGAAACTCCGTGAGTTGTT